TGCATGTAGTCTATACCTTTAATCTATAAGCTTTTGCTTATCGGTTAATTGACTACACTGTTGCATCCCTAATACATCTGTTATACACTGAGGTAAGGAGAATGAGAATTACTGGTTTTTTTTTGTTTTTAGCATTGGTGTATATGAAAGATGGTTCCTTGTGGGGAAAATGAGATGTATGAGGGAGTTAGCAGGTAAGAGAAACCCACGTCACTTCCTGCAGCTCTCCTTGGCTGAAAATGGCAAGCTGCAGCTAATGGGAGGTGCAAGGCTCCGTGCCTATGGACGCATCTCACGGCCCTCCAGTGGCTTATCTGGGCGGTCCTGCTACCCAAGTTTGAAAACCAATAGCCTAGGAACCTGCAGCTTTAGTTTCTGTTGTGGGAGAATGCTTGATATTACCAGATGGATGCTTCTCCTCCTTAGACTGCGAAGGCCACAGTCTTGCTGTTTTTGGAGAGGCTTGTTCTTTTGTGTCATCACTTGTTGAAGAAATTCCTTGAGAGAAAGTGACTGAGGTTTAGAATGCTCAGAAAGAGGCAATCACTGTCCTGCTCTTTCTGAGGAAAGCAATGTGGTTACAATGATGCAAAAATGTTTCTTTCTTTAATTTCAGAACTTGTGTGGGTTACATATTTATGTCATGGTAACCAAAGTGTCCTGGTGAGGAACTGTATATAAGCATGAAAGTTTGTGTCTCTCAACAATAGAACTTAGTCCAATAGAAGACTCACCTTGTCTCTATAATAAAGTATTAGTAATAAATACCCTTGGAAACAAGGGGCTTGATTATTTTAATTCCTTCTTTGTAGGGCTGTCACTGGAGCTTCTTCATCACTTTTGCTTATTCACACTTAAGTGATATCATTAACCACAGTGTTATTTTGATACTGCTGTTTTGTTTTATTTTTCACATTTGTCTGCCTTTAAAGAATTAGGCCCAGACTCCATTGGAGGCCTGGAACTTGAACCTTGTACTGACATGTAACTGTAGTCACCCCACTTGCGATTTAAAGATAACACCATCATATTTGACGTCTTCAGGTGACTGCACTTTTGCTGCAGTTGTCTTGTGTGAAACTTGCTCCCATGTGGATTTTCTCATGTCATCCCCTTATTACTTCCAAATTTTAGTTGTTATATCTTTTTAGTGTATTTTTGGAATGACAACTCTTGGCCCTCTGTTTATTACCTTTCCTTCCAAATACTTTCTTTCTCTTTTTAATTCCTCATTTGTTGTGTGTGTTGCTTTAAAAGGGTATTACTTTACAACAATTAAAACCATAGGGTTGCAACGAGAGTGTTTCATGGAGGAGCTATATGACTATTGTTATTTATTGTTGTTTTTGGTGTTCGTACTTCCTGCCTTTTCTATGCCCAGTCTATGTTGTGTTCTTTTTCCTTTCTTCTCTCTCTTCATTACTGTGTTCTTGTATTGCTCCCCTCTGGTGCTCTGCTCTGCTTTTATGAGTGCAATTACAGTAGTCCTGCTCTGTGAAGCAATTCAGATAACAAGATTATTGTAAATTCCACTTTGCTGCCAAGAAACTAAAAGGCAGGAGAGAGTTGGGAAAAAACCCCATGAAGTTTTAAATTTCTTGCGTCAATCTTGAGAACATGAATAGTCCTGAAATCAGAGAGCTTGAGATTCATTCTCAAGAATTAGTAGTCTTGCTTTTCATACTTGATGACATTAATATTTCTTAAGTGAAGAGCTGCATGTTACTTTTAGGTGCATCATTTTGTTTTTATTGTACCATGTTTCAGTATCATCACAAATTACAAAAAAAGAAAGATTGTACCAAGATTTTCATACTTTCTATCCCTGCTGCTATAGATTTGAAACAAAATACAGGACTATGTAGCCTTTAAAGACTAACAAGATGGTTTATTAGATGATGAGCTTTTGTGGGCCAGACCCACTTCCTCAGATCTGGCCCACGAAAGCTCATCATCTAATAAATCATCTTGTTAGTCTTTAAAGTGCTACATAGTCCTGTATTTTGTTTCAGCTACACCAGACTAACACGGCTACATTTCTATCGCTATAGATTTGGTGAGCCAGTTTTAGAGACCTGCACATTATAAGACTAAAACTGCTAAGTCACTTAAGTGTTTTATAAATTTGTCTTTGCTAGCTGTAGTTAGCACTTCCTAAAGTGAACCTTGGACTTTAACTCTTCCTGACACAAGCCACAGATTAAGAGAGTCAAAGATCATGATTTTTAATGGGGGAGAGGAGAATAGGGCGGTAGGAACCAAACATTGAATGCATATACCCACTGGGAAATTGTCAGAGGATTTTAACTGTTTTAGTGTGATATTAGAGAACTGACTGATTTTTTTTTTCTTTTGGCATTGGAATCTAATGATGAAGGGTAATGTAACCCTTAAAACATTCTTAAAGGACTTTTCATACCATGCATTCATGAGAAAACAAAATAATATTCCTTCTGTCATGGTAGAGTAAAAATTGCTTGTTTCCAGTTTTGCAGGATTTTACCATGCAATTCAAAGATTTAGGATTTTACTAGAGGGTTGCCCCCCCCCCCCCCCCCCCCCCCCCCAGCCACTTTTGCAGCCAGAGAGCCTGTTAATCTTGCACTGATTATATAGAAAACTGAACAAACAAAGACTGTTAATTGGTCTGTTGCTCACGTACTACATGTTACAGAAGAATCTACAAACAGATCTCAGTTTTGCAGTTGGTTCTGGTTGAAGCCATGTAAGTGAGATGCTGAGATTCCACTTTCAAGTAGTCTGATGATGTCATTCTGACATGCAGCTGAGAAAACTTTTTTATAGATAGATTAGATAGTCTGTCCTGTTTCCTTTCAGATTTCTTAATCAATTTTGGCTCCAAACCATCAGTTCCAATTAGCAGTACTTCATTTAATGATAGCCCTGCATGATAACTCATTTAATTATAGTTTTGCACCTAGTGATGATATAGTTAAGAATCAATCAGATTTGCAGTGCTAAAATCCTATTTTCAATTATTTCTGTTTTTTTGTGCTTACATACAGTAATTAAAAAAAATCAAACTGTTTCTTAAAATTTTGCAGGCTTTTATTTCCTAATGTACGCTATTCACACTTGTTATCTGGTCCCTATTGCCTTATCAGAATATTTCACAAACATTATGAATTTATCCTCCTAGTACCCTTGTGCAGTAGGTGAGAATAGGTGTTACTGCATTATCCATTTAAAGTGCTGCCAAATACTAATTAAATAATAAAAACCTTTTCTGCAGATAGGAAACTATTAATATTATTTTACAGAGCGAGAAACTGAGTCACAGAGTAGGGATGTGAAAAGTTAACCAATTAACATCACCCTTAATGGGGGGTGCTTACTGGTTTTGGTTAACCATTAACTGGTGGGGGCTTGAGCAGCTCCTTCCTTCACTGATTGTTCAGAGCAGCCTCTGTCCGCACTTCACCACAGTTAGGTATCACCCTGTCAGACATCTCCCTGCTCTAGGTAAACAAGGACACCAGGGCATAACTTGTCCAGGCTTATGGCTTTCACCCTGCTCTGTATACAGTCCACCTATGATCCGCTTTGGTTCCTGAACAAGTGATTGATGAATTGTATGAATTTCTTACAGTGGGGGAGAGGACAAAGCTGCACTGCCATGGAATCTGTGGCAGAAAATTAACAAGTACCTCATGAAAAGTTTCAATAGCCTCTCTCTGCAGGATTCCATTGAGATCATGGTGAGCATCAACATCCTGCTTGGCCATATCAATTAACTACGCAGGGATATATGCAGCTCACAGAAATTCAGCCAGCCTTCCACTTTTCCATGCCCTCAGCACTGCACTCCACAAGCCACAGCCATTTCCCCTTGGTCTTATCTTCTGTTTCATGGTTCCTGAAAAGCAGTTGCTCAGACTGTCTATGTCTATCAGCAGTGGAGAACATTTAATCAAAAGGCACCTCCTCCACATTGCTAGCTCTGGTAACTGGGAGAGCACAGAACAAAAGGATTGCTTAGCAGGCTGTATTGGCAGGCAGTTCAATTTTCTTGTAATGTGCAGAGAAGGCAGTGGAGTTTTCCTTCAAGTGAACCTCATTATTAGGCCAAGAGCAGTGACATTGGTGGGGTGAAGGCGCCTCTCTTAGATATAGTTATTTTGACTCAAGTCTGTGCACTGCAGTGTGCAGGCCAGAAGATCCTTAGGTTTCAACACAGGTCAGGAAATTCTTAACTATAGTAAAAATGCAATATAGATACTCAAGCCCAGGATTCTTTGACACAGGCCAGCTGATTCAAGTCCCACTAACCCTAACTTACCTAGTTGCATAGACATACCCATAGTCTTATTCTTTTGGAATATGAAAGTGGCACTAACACACTTGGATCTGAGACAGAGAAACTTTAGGTCCAGTAATAACAATCCCTGTTACAGGATCTAATCTTCCCCAAATTTATTGTTTAAAAGACAAAGAATGCCAAGAAATACTGTTATCAGAATTATAAATGCTTGACTCATTAACTGATAAAAGAATGTACATCTAAACTGTACTTCTTTACTTTTCAGTGATAACAATATTTCATCTTAAATAACATCTATCAGAAAATATTTCAAAGCACAATAGGCTTTATGGTCTTAAGCCTGCAATCCTTACAGGGAATCCTCCCATTAACTTCAGGATCAGCTCTTGAGCATGTATTTCAGTACCACTTTCAGCACTTTCATTTTAAACTAACAGAGCACTATATAGGAGACTGTCCTTTATTTTTAATATGTTGTAATTATTATGGGTTGCTTTTTTTTACAAGTCATATAGTATTAAAACTTTATTCTAGGGTAAAATGAATTCATGGCTTAATATATTGTAGAAATACTGATGGTAGAAAGATCCTCTGTATTAGATAAGTGTTAAAGTTGAGTTCTTAATGATTATGGTACATCTTTTTGTAACACATTGTGCTTTCTCATCTGTTGATTAAATTATAACAACTCTGATTGTTATACAAATTGTTTCTGAAGTGTGCAGAGCCAAAGAGATGGAAAGCATATGACGGAAAAATCACTGAAATGGATACACAATTTACATTACGTGCCAGAGAACTGCTTGAGATCTACCGCAGCATTAGTATGAAAGACCTCCCAAAAGATGAGAGGCTGGATGTGCTGTTAACACTAAAGCATACAGTGAAGGTACATTTTGATCTTCCTCTGAAGTTTAACTTTTGGTTATATCTTCTATATCTTCTTATATCCAGAGGCATAGTACTTTAATTGGTGCTGATACACCAGCAAGGTTTACATAAGAACATAAAAACGGCCATACTGGATGCGATCAAAGGTCCATCTAGCCCAGTATCCTGTCTGCTGACAGTGGCCAATGCCAGATGTCCCAGAAGGAGGGATCACAACAGGTAATCCTCATGTGATCCCTCCACTGTCACCCACCTCCAGAGAAATAGAGGCTAGGGACACCATTCCTACCCATCCTGGCTAATAGCTATTGATGAACCTAACCTCCATGAATCTATCTAGCTCTTTTTTGAACCCTGTTAAAGTTCTAGCCTTCACCGCATCCTCTGGCAAGGAGTTCCACAGGTTGACTGTGCACTGAGGCTACGTCTACACTACGTGTTTTCTCTGCAAAAAATATGCTAATGAGGGACTTATTTGCATGAGTCACTATCTCATTTACATATTTTCTGCAGATCGGTTTTTGTGCAAAACAAGCAGTGTGGACGTTTTCTTTTTGCGCAAAAAACCCTTTTTCCACAAGATCCTTATGCCCCCCAAAAAGGCGGTCTACTGATCTTGCAGAAAAAGGGGGTTTTGCGCAAAAAGAAAATGTCCACATTGCTCGTTTTTTGAAAAAAAATCCCAGTGCAAAAATGGACCAGCAGAAAATATGCAAATGAGATTGACATGCAAATGAGTCCCTCATTAGCATATTTTTTGCTGAGAGAGCTCGTAGTGTAGACGTAGTCAGAGTGAAGAAAAACTTAGTTTGTTTGTTTTCCTTTTGTTTCTCTTAGCAAACATTGGTGGGGATGTGGAGGCATGAACAAAAGCCTGGTGTGCTAACCAGTGCTATTTGTTAAATTAGGAAATGTCAATTTAATATAAATTCATGTTTGACTATCACTTTGTATGATTGGTATTGATTTTAAGGTAATTTAAAAATTATAACTCTCCACTGTGATATTAAATGTGTGTTAAATTTTAATACGGATTTATGATTACATTTAATAATTATATTAACCAGATTAAACTAGGAGAAATACTTTAATGTAATTTATTCATTTATTTTTTATGCTACAGATATTTTATATTTGATATATCTTTTCAGAAACTTGTCTATAAAATATGTCTTGGTTTGGATTGTTATTTTTACATCTCACAAACACTGATTTCCTCTCCCATTTTTAGTGGAGAAAAAAATTAACAGGATTTATTAAAAATGAAGTTCCTAGTTTGAGCATCATGATGGCACTCAGATACTTTGATATAATGGTATTTTGCACATAAATGAAATAGAAGAGCCTGATCTAAATTAAACCAAAGTGAGGATTTTGCTTTGGCTTTGATGGAATCAGAATTGGATCCAAAGTTAGAACATCTAGGCTACGTCTACACTGGCATGATCTTGTGCAAGAACTCTTTTGCGGAAAAGTTCTTGTGCAAGAACTCTTCCAGAAGAGAGCGTCTACACTGGCATGTGCGTTTGCGCAAGTGATGTGTTTTTCGCAAGAGCATCCATGCCAGTGTAGATGCTCTCTTGTGCAAGAAAGCTCTGATGGCCATTTTAACCATCGGCCTCTCTTGCGCAAGAAATTCGTGTTGCCTGTCTACACTGGCCTCTTGCGCAAGAACAGTTGTGCAAGAGGGCTTATTTCTGAGTGGGAACATCATAGTTCTTGCGCAAGAAGTACTGATTTCATACATTAGAATGTCAGTGTACTTGCGCAAGAATGCGCGGCCAATGTAGACAGGCAGAAAGTTTTGTGCAAAAGCAGCTGCTTTTGCGCAAGATTGGTCCAATGTAGACACAGCCCTATAGAAATAGAAAACTATAGAATTCTAGAAATAGCTCGAGAAATCAACTACTCCAGTCTGAGCCAGCAGAAGGAGCTTATAGTTTTTGTTTATTGATGGTTTCACAATAGTAATGATCCAGGTCAAATTCTGCATTTTAGAGAAATCTGGAATTGCTGTAAAATCAAGATTTATATTGGAGTAAAGAAGGTGAATTTAAGCAAAATCATCCACCTGTCACCTTCCATCTCCACAGCAGTTTCTTTATGTATTTTTGAGGTAGAAGAATGTTGCATCAGAAGATAATGTTTTTTATGCCTGGGGGGACATAAGGATCTTGCGCAAAAAGGGGTTTTTGAGCAAAAAGGAAACGTCCACACTGTTCGTTTTTGCGCAAAAACCCCTTGCGCAAAAATGGCTCAAATAGATTATGCAAATGAAGCATGACAAAATGCTAATCAGAGCTTAATTTGCATACTCTCTGCCGGCAAAATCTGGCAGTGTAGACAAAGCCTTAGAGCAGAGGTTCTCAAACTTTGTGATACTCTTACCCCCCTCTAAGTTGCTCACGACCCCCCTTTAAGTTGCTGCAACTCCCTTCTATGTGGCTCTTGACCCCCTGGGAGGTTGGGACCCACAGTTTGAGAAACGCGGCCTTAGAATATTGAATGATATATAGACTATACACTGCATACTTTGTTTTAATATCAGTTTGTTGTAAATCTAATGGTTTATAGCAAGTATCCATGTTGTAACTTGATTTTGTTTTTTTATATAGGAACATGGGTGTAAACTCACCCATGAAATAGTGGAATTAATTGACAGAGAGGCTGATCTCATGATGCGAGGCGTGAAAGAATGCAATCTAGAAGGACTGAGAAAAAGAATATGTACATTATTTCTTCAGTATATTAAAACTCCACTCTTTAACCCTGAGGTTGCTAGAATACTTAAGGTATTTCTCCCTTCTATTATAATCATGATATTTCTCTATGGTAGTACTCGCTATATGTTCACTGTTTCCAAGCAGAGAAGCAGAAATAGTCTCTCTACTAAGCTTGCAGTTTTGAGAATGGGCCATCAGGCACAAGGCAACAGAAGAGAGAGGAAATGAAAAACGACATATTCTTTTTTTTAATGTAAGATTAGCCAAAGGCTTCAAGAGGAACTTACATGTCAAAATGGAAGAAACCTCACAGATGAGCTCAGAAAGGTCATACCATAAAATGGAAGATGACATGGAGATGGTTTTCTTTTGAGAATCTAACCAATGAGTGTTCTGTGTGGGAGCACTGGCAGAGCACATGCAGGAGTGAAGTAAGACAAGCTTAGATAGGTAGGAAGTGGAAGAATTATGTAGAACTTTGAAAAGGGTGACAAGACACTTGCATTTTATTCAATAACAAATGGGGAACTATGAGAGAGATTCAATGAGAGAGACTTGGTTAGCAGGGAGATGACTTTCATTGCAGCATTTTGTTTGTATTGGAGGAGGAAAACAAAGAGTTTTAGAGTGACCAAGGTATAAAGAGGCTGCAGTAGTGAAGTGGAATATAATGAAAGCCTGACCAAGAGACTTAGTTGTGAACTTCTATAATAGTACAAGTTGTGCCTCACTTGTCTGGCACCCTCAGGACCTGAGCAGTCCCAGATGAGAGAATTTGCCGGACCGGGGAGGTCCACTGCTTCCAGTCCTCTCAGCCCCCCCCCCCCCCGCCGCCTCCTCCCACCCACTGCCAGCTAGGTGATGTGGCTGCCCCAGCCCTGCTGACATAGCTGTTGCTCTAGCCCCACTGCCGGCTGGCACATATCCCCAATCAGGCTGCCAACCTGCTGCAGCCCCAGCTGGGTTGCCACAGTCCCAACCCCACTGCCATATCTGCTGTTCCAGCCCCATTGGTCCCATGCAGCCTTGGCCCCACTGCTACAGCACCAGCCCTGCTGCTGGCTGGCATGTGGCCCCGATCAGGCTGCCGACCTGCCAGAGCCCAAGATGGGCTTTCCCTGCTGGGCTGCCACAGTCCAACATTACTGCCAGGCAGGCTGCTGTGGCTCTGTCCCCACTGCAGGACCAGCATGCAGCTCTGTTCGGGTTGCCGCAGCACAACCCCGCGCTGCTGGGCCAGCACGTGTGGGCTGCCCCTGTCCCTCTGCCATGGCCCCACTACTGCCGCCGGTCTGCTGAGTGCTTGGCCCCACTAACACCAGCATCGCCTTCTGCAGGGCTCTCAGCTGCTGGCCCTCCTGCCCCAGGGCTCTCTCGTTCAGTAACATCCACAGTCCTGCCAGACCACGGATGTTGCTCGACAAGTGAGTCCCAGTTTAGGGAAGTGCAACCTGTACTCTCAAAAACTGATTATTGTATAAAATTAAATATGTTTGATATGGCTTATGACCACACAAATATATGTACACATTATATACAGGCAGTCCCCGGGTTACGTACAAGATAGGGACTGTAGGTTTGTTCTTAAGTTGAATCTGTATGTAAGTCGGAACTGGCGTCCAGATTCAGCCGCTGCTGAAACTGACCGCCAGTTCTGACTTACATACAGAAACAACTCCGCCGCCGGTTTCCCCGTGGCTTTGCAAAGCCGCGTGGGGGGGGTGAAGGGGTCTCGGGCAGCGGGGCTGCCCCACTGCCCGAGCCCCTCCTCGGCTTTGCTCTCCGTCTTCCTGGTCTGCAGACCAGGGAGACGCAGAGAAAGCCCCAGAGTACATGGGCGGCAGGACCGTGAGGTCCCGCAGTCCGTGTACTCTGGGGCAGCCCCGTTCGTAACTGCGGATCCGACATAAGTCGGATCCGCGTAAGTCGGGGACTGCCTGTACTTATCATGCCATTAGAGGCCATACTAATTCAGTGACACAACTGATTCATTAAACAACCAGACATAGTCTAATATCATTATCTTGTAGGCTCCTTGGTAAATATCTTAGGCTATGTCTAGACTGCAGGCCTCTTTCGAAAGATCGCTTCTAGACTACAGGCGGATCTTTCGAAAGAGCAATCCGCTTTTTCGAAAGAGAGCACCCAGCGAGTCTGGATGCTCTCTTTCGAGGAAGCCCTATTTACATTGAAGAACGCCTTTTTTTCGAAAGAGGAACTTTCGAAAGAAGGCGTTGTTCCTCGTGAAATGAGGTTTACCGCCATCGAAAGAAAAGCTGCGTTCTTTCAAAATAATTTCGAAAGAACGCGGCTTGAGTCTGGACGCAGGGGAAGTTTTTTCGGGAAAAGGCTACTTTTCCCGAAAAAACCCCTGTGTCTGGATACAGCCATAGGGTATGTCTACTCTACAGCACTAATTCTAACTAACTTATTTTGAATTCCTTAATTCAAAATAAGTTAATTCGAAATAACGCATCTAGACCCAAAAACTAATTAAAATTAGTGTTTTGCTAATTCGAAATAGCGCGTCTACACTAATTGGACGCAGGGTCACATTTAAGGGCAGCTGAAACCAGTTCCGGCAGGGCATCAGGTCAGTAGTTGCTTTGTGTGGCTACTGTCTGAGGCTATCTGAGGCTTGTGCTTAAAGGTACCTCCCTGGAAAGCCGGTTCTCAGCTTTTCCACTTGCTTGCCTACCTCATCGAGGAACAGCAAAGCGTTTTCCTCTCTGCCTGTCTTTGTCGGTGGTTCCCATTGGGGACACCGCCGCAGTTGGCACCATGGAGCCAGAGCTCACCCTGGGCAAGCTGCTCCAGTTTTTGGACTTGCTGCTGCAAGCCTGCCAGCAACAGCTGGAGGCTCCCTGGAACCATCTGGTGCACGTCATCCCTCTGCCCCTCCCCCTGGCCTCCCTGGGGGCCGTTGAGGAGCCACAGCAGTGCCCGGATGCCAGCGTGCCCATCAGCAGCGACTGGTGGGACTGCATCGTCCTGGAGCGCTGGGGAGACCATCAGGGGACCCAGAACTTCAGGATGAAGAAGGACACCTTCCTGGAGCTCTGCAAGTGGCTCGCCCCTGCTCTGTGGTGACGGGACACTCGCATGAGGCCCACCACCCCCCTCCAGAAGCGTGTGGCCATCGCCCTGTGGAAGCTTTCCACGCCGGACAGCCACCGATCCATTGGAAACCAGTTCGGCATGGGGAAATGCACTGTCGGAGCAGTTCTCATGCAGGTACGGCACTCACTGGGTCGGTGGGGGAGGAGGGCTGCAAGGAGGGGATGAGATACCCCAGGGAAAACGGAGGGGGGTGGAATAGGAGGCAAAAGTATCCCACATGGGAGGGTTCGGTCTGTCCCGGCTGTACTACATGCCGCCCGCGGCGGCCAGGATCGCAGCGGGAGTTGCTTCTGAGAGTGGGGCATGGAGCAGTGCCAGGGAATGAACACTCTGAGGCACCCCAATGATTCGCGGTTTGGTGTGTCTCTCTGCAGGTGGTCAAGGCCATCAATAGGATGCTGCTTCGCAGGGTGGTCCGCCTCGCCGACCCGGACACAGTCATCCAGGGGTTCGGCGCCCTCGGCTTCCCCAATTGTGGGAGGACGATCAACAGGACACATATCCCCATCTGTACCCCGGAACACCAGGCCTCCCGCTACATTAACTACAAGGGGTACTTCTCCATGATCCTGCAGGCCATGTCTGACCACCGGGGCCAGTTCACAGACATTAATGTGGGCTGGTCTGGCACACTCCGTGTGCCGGAGGCTGCACATCGGGACTTTCTTCCCCGACCGCCACATCATGTTCAGGAATGTGGACGTGCCTGTGTGCCTGGTGGGGGATGTGGCCTATCCCCTACAACTCTAGCTGATGAAGCCCTACATGGGACACCTCAGGGACCCCTCACCCCCTTCCGTCAAGCCTTTAATGCCAGGCTCACCAGGGCCCGCATCGTGGTGGAGGGGGCCTTTGGATGCCTGAAAGCCCAATTTAGATGCCTCCTCACCCACCTCGACCTCGCTGAGCACAATATCCCTCCCGTGGTGGCAGCATGTTGTGTGCTGCACAATTTATGTGAGTGCAAAGGGGAGGCTTTCTTGCCAGCCTGGATGGCTGAGGCTGAGTGCATGGCAGCCCCGCACTGCCGCCGTCCGGGAGGCCCAGCGGGGGGCTGTCCAGATCCAGGAAGCCCTGCGGGAGAGCTTTCAGGTGAAGGCAGACTGAACTCTCCCTGCATGTCCCACTGGGGCCTTCTTCCACCCTCCCCTCCTTCCCCTTTCCCCTCCCTAACCCCCCTTCCTAATGTAAAATAAAAACACCTGTTTTGCCGAAAAAAACCCTCTCTTTATTGTACATAAATGAGGCGGGGGAGGAAGGAATGAGGGACTCACTACATTTTGTTTTCTGATTTTTTCTTTGACTTTGTTGTGTATGTTTACACTGCATGAATGCTTCTTCTCAACAACCCTAACTTTACTTTGTTTTCTTTTTTGTTTGCATGCCTTCCTCAATTTGTGTTGACTTCAGGTCAAGGGATTTAGAGGGGGGGGCAAAGGGAGAGCAGGAAGGGGATGAACATGAGGAGATATTTCCTGAGGAGGAGGAGCAGGAGGGACAGGGGGTGCAGAGGAAGCGGGAGGGGGAGCAGGGGTGGGAGGAGGAGCGAGAGCTGGGGCAGCCGCAGGGACTGGAGCAGGAGAAGGCAGGAACCTGTCTGCCAAGGTCTGGAGGTGGCCTCAGAGGGCACGGCCCTGCTCCTCCAGCACCTCCAAGCTCTGCTGCCGCAGGTCCTCCCGGACCCAGTGGTCCTGGGTGCGGAGCTGGTGCTCCAGTAACCACAGTGCCGCTGCTGGTAGTCCTCCAGCTTCCTGGTGCGCCTGCTGGCCCGGGTGCGGGTGACTGTTGAAGGCGGGATGGTGCACCCTGCAGTCCCAGGTGCTGCGTCTGTGGTGAAACAAGGGCATGCGTGGCCCCACCCCTGGAAGCGCGGCACGTGGGTGGCCCCTCCCCAGGCACCCAGCAGCCACGAAAGGCTGGGGACCACTGCTGTAGCATATTTGTCACCATGCTGTCGTCCCCCGGCTTCAAGAAATGCAACACTTGCCGGGAGGCAATGCCTGTCACCCATCTTGTATTAGGTGTCTGGGAGAATCTCATATTCCCCAGAAATGCCTGCACTGCAGTAAACTCACTGCAAGGGCCAGGAAGAACAGGGAGATGCGGCTACAATGCTGCTTTTTTATAAAGCCTTGCAGCCGCCGTGGCCTACTTCCGACTAGGAGACTCTGCTTGAGACTTATGGGACACATGGCTGCCACTACCTATGTCGTTCACTACTCCAGACTACATTTCCGTGCTCTTCAACACTGGCTGACACTGGTATACAATCACACCACACACGACCTACACAGACCTGTGATTCCTCCACAATCCGTACTTCTATCACTTCTTTGGTGGATGAGCTGTACGAACCTTCTCTCTGGCGTTCCGTTCCAACAACAGCAGCCACAACACCACATCACCACCGATGCTTCTCTTTTCAGTTGGGGTGCACGTATGGACTCAATCTCTGTGCAGGGTCAATGGTCAGCATCAGAAGCCTGCCTCCACTTAAACTTTCTAGAACTGTGGGCCATCTTCAACGCTTGCAAGTGTCTCCGTGCACACATTCAGGGCACAACGGTGAAAATCCTCACAGACAACGTCACAGTCACGTACTACGTGAACCGCCAGGGCGGCGCTTGATCCCGCTCCCTCTGTGTGGAATCAATCCGATTTTGGAATTGGTGCATTCGCCACAGCGTAACACCTGTCCTACTGACCTGGAACCATGAATGTTGTAGCGGACTTTCTCTGCAGACGCTTCACTATGGAACAGGAGTGGGAATTACACGACAACATTCTCCATGCCCTTTTTCAACGATGGGGGTTTCCCGCAATAGATCTCTTTGCGACCTACCGCAACAGGAAGTGCTGCAAGTACTGCTCCCGAGTGGGTTGAGGTCCTAGATCTCTAAGAGATGCCTTCCTTACCAGTTGGAAAGGGCCTCTCCTATATGCATTTCCCTCTACAGTCCTCATTCCCAAGGTTCTGCAGAAAGTGAGATCAGAAACCATACTCATACTAATCGCCCCAGCATGGGCTCGCCAGCATTGGTTCCCATTCCTCTATCGCATGTCCATACGCAGACCGTTCCAGCTCCCACTTTGTCTGGATCTCCTCACCTAGACCCACGGCTCTTTCCGATACCCCCAGCTTTGCACCCTGAAACTAACGGCATGGCTCCTACCTGGCTGAACCCGTCCGAATCCCTGTGCTCTGAACAGGTGAAACGTATCCTCATCCTCAGTAGACGATTAACAACAAGGAAAACTTACCTCTCCAAATGGCACAGATTCGCAGCCTGGTGTGCCACTAGATGACAGCTCCCAGACTCAATGGCTCTTCCAAACATTCTTGATTACTTAATCCACCTGAAACAAACAGGACTTTCATTAGCATCCCTCAGAGTCCATCTGGCAGCTATCTCTGCATTCAGACAACCGATTGACGGCATCTCCCTCTTCGCCCATCCGACCACAAAGCATTTCCTTAGGGGCCTTACAAACATTAGTCCACCGCATATTCCCACCCCTCCGGTATGGAACCTAGATGCCATCCTCGAAGCCTTAATGGCCCCATCATTCGAACTGTTCACTACCATACCTTTAAGATTACTGACGATGAAAATGGTCTTCCTATTAGCCACTACATCAGCTCGTCAGGTCAGTGAGTTATCTGCCATAATGGCAACACCCCCATATACTGTTTTCAATAAGGAGGGGGTAGTTCTCAGGCTCCACACTACATTTGTCCTAAGATAGCATCTAGCTTCCATGTCAATGAGCCAATTGTTCTTTCGGTCTTCCACCCTAAGCCTCACGTTTCTCCATGAGACATGGCTCTCGACACGTTCGACGGGCTTTGGCCTTCTACTTAGACTGTATCAGATCGTTTTGACAAACTGATCGGCTAATTCTCTCCTTACCTGATAGATCCAAAGGCCAACCCATATCTTCCCAACAAATTTCTAAATTGATAACTGACTGCATAACAGAGGCCTATGCCTCCAAGAACATTCCGCTCCCGACTCACCCTCGTGCACACTCTGAGGCGATCTCAAGGAACTGGCAGGGACTGGACCGCGCATTCAGGCAAAAGAGCACAAACGACATGAGACACCGTGGCACGCATGCAGTCCAGCGGGGTACTGCTTCTAGAAAAGTCTCCATTCTGAGGTGCCAGGGCAAGCCCAGCACCAACAGTGGAGCACCCACGGGGACACCATCTTGAAGAATGACAGTTACTGCACCAAGGTGAGTAACTTCGCTTTGTTAGACTCTCAACTGGTACTTTGCCCTGGAGTAGAGCATGCCCTGTTCCCCAGATTTCAAACTATTTGAAGTGCATGGGGAAATCCCATATAAAGGGCAAGTATGGGAATTTCAAGAACTTTTATCATAGAACCCAGAAGGAACAGGATATCTTCTTGAAGGCCCTCCTCATGTAGGTGTAATTTCATCTGGTGTCAGAACCCTCCCAACCAGACTTTGCTTCTAGCACCTCTGCCCAGCACCATTCTCCCTCGCTGATGCCCAAAAAGTGTCAAAAGAAAAGAGGCCCAGGGGCACCATCTAAGGAGGGGACGGGGCCCTGGGCAAAGGACCTAGTTTCAAGTATGTGCTCCCCCCAGAACTACAAGGCATATTGCTGGGGTTGAACCTTCTAATCCAGCCAGGGATCCATCTCTGATCTTTTGAGAGTGGCAGGAGACTCCAGGTACAGCTGGGACCTTCAATGCTTGAAGCTGCCCAGGCAGTAAGAAAACCTTATAGGCCTGTTAGTACCTAGACTCCATGCCAGGAGCCAGATGTAGCTAAGGCCCTGCAATCCAAGGACAAGCCAGCCATGGGACCCTGCCCAGAGACTGGTGGAATGCCTTCAGTCCCAAGAGCATAAGCATATGTCTCCACCCAAAAGACTGAGGTCTCCAGTACTGTGCTCTCCTTCCATGAGGCACAGAACACTGGAATTGGGGTACCGGTCTCCATACTCTAGTACCCACAAGCCCCTTGCAAGAGATCACACTATCACTTAGACTATCTCCCAGGCATTGGTAACATTGGTACTTACCCTCACAGCATCGCTCATCATGGCAACGCCAGTCTCCACTGTCTTGGTACCATTCAATGGATGGATGCTGATCTCACAGCCTTGCTTTCGTTACCAGAAAAGGAATGGTCTGAGTTGGAAACAGAATTCAGCCCCTCACTAAGAAAGCATGGATCCCTGAATTCCCAAAAGTTGGCACAATATCTGCAGCAGCAGCATGGTAGCAGGGCCAGTGGCTTTCTCACTAGCCTTGTTGGACTCCTCGGAGCATGCTGTTGATGATGTTTTCATATTCCTACCACACTTCCCTGCCTGCCTCGGACAAAGCTTTGCCCGCACCACTGCCACCAGATTCAGAACTGGTGTGGAACCTGATGTGAGGGCAGTACATCAGGCACTAACACCTAGAGAACCACCCGTGGAAGGAGAACCCACCTCTTCCCTTGTGAAGCCCTCATCATTTTCCACAATAGATGAATCAGTGGCTGGCCTCTTTCAGACTGATTTAAAAGCACATCAGGTTCTGAAAGTGTGGCTACCAACCTCTATTGGGAAATAGAGGTATTGGAGGAGCCTCTTCAATGTCATCTCTCCCAACATCCCGCATTCTCCAGTGCCTGCATTCTCCAGTGACTCCGGTTCTTCTCTTTCTCTTATTGATCTTTTTGTCTGACAGATAAGTAATTCAGAGTGGCAACAACACTTTACATTATTGGAAGGATAAACAGAAATGAGTTAGAAGTGTTGTTGGAAGATGTTAATGGGTGCCACCACTCAGTTGTTTGATCAGTAGACAATTGCAAAATTTCTTAAAGTGTCTCCATGTGTCTCCCCGTTTTCCCATTTTGTTTTTTTGATTCTATCCCAGATCAGTAGGATTTTGGCCTGTGATGTCTAGAACATTCCCTGATATTTGGGAATTGATCAGGTGTGACATTCTAAAGTTATATTTTGCACTGCATTCAGACAGACAGAAATGCCATCAAGCTGCTAGTAAAGCCTTAGCAAACTTAGCCAATAGGTGCATTGTGTAAGATATTATATGTTCTTGGTAATGTTAAAACCTTACTCATTTAATAGGAGAACATTCAGTCTTACATGTATTAATTAGAGCATCATTCTTGTCATCCCTCTGCAGGTTCCACCAGATCCATTAAAGCTTTATACAAATATTTACTTTTGTCATGGTTGTAAAAGTTACTTGCCATCTACAGAATTCTCTGTGCCTGCTAATTCACGCACTGTCGGCAGGTGTCGCCGTTGTTGCAAGCTTGATAATGAGGCCCGACGTCGAGAAGCCTTTTTAAAATACAAGTTTATGCTAAAAAATCTCAGAAAATCTGAAGCAGATTACGAGGATGATGCCAAAATTGCTTACATTGTTCAGGTACTAAGTGAAAGGGTAGTGCTGATTGTGAAATTAATGTTTTTGTGTTGAGCATCATTTTTCCTGTTTCTGTGTATATATCAGAGATGTTAATGTCAACTGGTCTAAATTGTTACATAGAGTGGTAGTTCTAATTTTAGACACTGAAAACCAAAAATTACATAAACTTTTTCTAATATGGAACAAATGGTTCTCTCTTGAATAAATAAACACCAAAAACAGAGTTGCTCTTAGTTTAATAAAATGTGGTTAGATTTTTTTTAAATGTGTCTGTAAAATGATTAAAAAAGCAAAGAGAAAGGAGGGCCTAAGAACAGGACCAGGAATAAACAGATCTGAATTTAATCCTACCTCTGCAATATACTTCCTATGTGATACCAATCATATAATTTAATCTACTGTGCCACTGTATCTATCTACAGGGCTCGCCAAGCAACGGCGAGCCCTGCTCTCCAGCCACGTGGTTCGGCACGCTGTGCATGTGCAGACCACTCTGTGCGGCTGTGTTGGCTTGTAATCTACTCACCACGGGCGAGTAGATTACACTAATTGTCAAGTCCTGTCTATCTATATATATATTTTAGAGTGCCTGTGTATGTGAGTCTGTCTGTTTGTAAGTCCATTTTTTCAAAAACTCCTAGATGGTAAGACGGTCATCAAATTTTGGTATGCAGCTTCTTATCTTAGCTTGACACCTCCTGCCAGCAATAGGGAAGCCTATGGGGGAAGAAAGAAGGCCCTGCCAGGTGGGGAGGGAGCCTGGGTGGAAAGAGGGAAGGTCCCTGCTGCACGTTGGAGGAGTCTAGTGGGGAGAGAAGGCTCCTGTCGGGTGAAAAGAGCCCGTGGGAGAGAAGGTCCCTGCCTTGTGGGGGAAGCCTTGAGTGGAGATAGAAGGTCCCTACCATGTAGGAGGAGAGCCTGAGCAGAGGCAGAATGCCCCTACTGGGTGGCAGAGGAGGGCTAGCAGAAGAGAGAAGGCTCCTGCCAGGTGAAGGAAAGCTATGCAGGGGAAGAGAAAAAGCCTCTCCTGGGTGGGGAGGAATCCTGGGGGAGGGGGGAGAGAAGGCCCCTACTAAGTGGAGGGGAACTGGGGGAAAAAAGAAGGCACCTACTGGTCAGGAGTCTGGGGGGTAGAAAAGGACCACATGGTGAGGCCCCCTGCCCTGAGCCCCTTTTCACTTCCAACCCTCCTTCTTGCCTCCCCCCCCACACTCCCAGCCCCCTGCTCTGAGCCCCTCCTCAAGACTATGTCCTGACTCCTGTTCCCTCCCCCCACGTTGCTAGCCCCCTGCCCTGAAGGATCCAGGCAATGCTAGGTATGTTTTCTACTCCAGTGTTTCTCAACCTTTTTTTATAAAGTACCCCCTTTAAAAAAAATACAAGTACCCTTGTACAGGCCCCTGGACGATCAAGATACAAAAGGAACACTTAAAGATGTCATATACCTAGACTTTAGTAAGGCATTTGATACGGTCTCACATGATATTCTTATTGATAAACTAGGCAAATATAACTTAGATAGGGCCACGATAAGGTGGGTGCATAATTGGCTGGATAACCGTAGTCAGAGAGTTGTTGTTAACGGTTCTAAATCCTGCTGGAAAGGGATAACAAGTGGAGTTCCGCAAGGGTCTGTTTTGGGACCCGTACTATTCAATATCTTCATCAATGATGTAGATATTGGGATAGAGAGTACGCTTATTAAGTTTGCAGATGATACCAAACTGGGTGGGGTTGCAACTTCTTTGGAGGAGAGGGACATAATTCAAAATGACCTTAGCAAGTTAGAGAAATGGTCAGAGGTAAACAGGATGAGGTTTAATAAAGAGAAATGCAAAGTGCTCCACTTAGGAAGGAACAATCAGTTCCATACATACAAGATGGGAAGCGACTATCTAAGAAGGAGCATAGCGGAAAGGGATCTAGGGGTCATAGTGGACCACAAGTTGAATATGAGTCAACAGTGTGATGCTGTTGCAAAAAAAGCAAATATGATTCTAGGTTGTATCAACAGGTGTGTTGTAAGCAAAACTCGTGAAGTCATTCTGCCGCTCTACTCTGCACTAGTTAGGCCTCAGCTGGAGTACTGTGTCCAGTTCTGGGCGCCACATTTCAAGAAAGATGTGGAGAAATTGGAAAGGGTACAGAGAAGAGCGACAAGAATGATTAAAGGTCTAGAGAACATGACCTATGAAGCCAGGCTTCATGAACTGGGCTTGTTTAGTTTGGAAAAAAGAAGATTAAGGGGGGACATGATAGCGGTTTTCAAATATCTAAAAGGGTGTCACAAGGAGGAAGGAGAAAATTTGTTCCTCTTGGTTTCTGAGGACAGGACAAGGAGTAATGGGCTTAAAGTGCAGCAGGGGAGGTTTAGATTGGACATTAGGAAAAAATTCCTAACTGTCAGGGTGGTCAAATATTGGAATAAATTGCCAAGGGAGGTGGTGGAATCTCCCTCTCTGGAGATATTTAAGAACAGGTTAGATAGACATCTGTCAGGGATGGTGTAGACGGAGCTTGATCCTGCCTTGAGGGCGGGGGGCTGGACTCGATGACCTCTCGAGGTCCCTTCCAGTCCTATTATTCTATGATTCTATGATTCTAAGCTCAGAATACTGCTCCTACACAGTCAGCCAGCAGATCTGACAGGAACAGGCAGAATGTTGAGCTATGGCTCCACTTACTCCCACTGTCTCTGTGCTCCTAGGCTATGTCTAGACTGCAAGCCTCTTTCGAAAGAGGCTTTTTCAAAAGATACTTTCGAAAAAGCTTCTTTTGAAAAAGAGCATCTAGACTACAATCAGTACTTTCGAAAAAGCAAGCTGCTTTTTCAAAAGAGAGCA